GGTGACATAGCTTTTTAGTAAGTTTTGGAACCGTATGCGACTGAAAGTGGGCTTGCTAAGTCTTCTCACTTCTGCTTCGAATCACGGTTCTGTGATGTTGAGCCAAAGTTTCGGTGCATTACTTCTTAACACAGCTAGCTAAGCGTACTCCTAATGGAGGAACACCGTCCAGAGGTGCCAAGATATAATGTCATTGTAACTACTACTACCTGCGCCGCCAATCTACATGGCTGGTGGGCCTCTTTTGGGTGGTCTGCTCCCTCTGTTTCTTTTCTTTTCTGTTTTTGTTTTGTTTTGTTTTGTTGTTTTTAGTTACCATAATCTGCTCCAGTTTAAATGTTTGCGTTGTTCTAACGACTCAATTTAAACTGCAGTTCATTTCTACTCTACAGGATTTATCTAGATCTAGATATCTAGATCTTGTCTAGATCGGTCTGTCTGTTTGTCTGTCTTGTGTCTAGTCCATTTTTCTCTGTCTGTCTGGCTTGTTGTCTGGCAGTCTCTTGATTTGCACACATCTGTCTGTCTGTCTGTCTGTCTGTCTGTCTGTCTGTCTGTCTGTCTGTCTGTCTGTCTGTCTGTCTGTTTTGTCTGGCTTTCTGTCCTGTCTGTCGGTCTGTCTGTATGTCTCTCCGATCCGCATACCTCTTCCTTGTTCCTTTTTAAGAACCCTTTTGTGTTTTTCACCTGAGATCTATTCTAAGTTGAGCCGTCTTGCGACCACCCTTGTTTGTTTTTAACCCCCCCCCCCTCCCCCCACACACTCACAAACATCTTTTCCCCTCCTTCTCAGAATGTTCATTCTTGTGTTCTTTGATGTGTTAGCTCGTTCCGCTTACTCTTTGTAAAAGTGGGTGGTTGGTGGGTGCTCTGATGTGGTTCGCTCCCTCTTTCCTCTATCACATTTCTGTAATTTTTATCTCTCCTTTTATGCGTGTCTTTTACTTTCTTCTTGTAACAACTCTAAATCTCCGGTGTTTATATGACCTAATTGTGCTGCAAATGACGTAAAACTTTCAATAAAACAAAGACTGTACAACCTATAAAATTATGAGGGAAATATTTGTGAACGTTTTGAAAACTTTCAGTTTCAGTATTTTAAATTCTTCTAGTTTGTCTTGTTTGTTCGCCCCCCC